AGGATAAATTAGAGACTTTTAGAGGATTCTAGAAGCTCATAATAAATCCTAATGGATTTAGGATCGAAAACAACCTTCTAGATGATTCTAGAAGCTCGTAATAAACCCTAATTGATTTAGGAATAGGATTAAGGTAATGGACCCTCCATATGATCGTTTGGTCGCAGACAAGGCTTGGTTCGGGCTCAGTTTAGTATTTTGGCCATAACTTCTTCGTTATAAGTCGGATTTGGGCTTATAATATATCTTTGGAAATCTCTTTTCAAATCTCATCTAAATATACAATGATCGGACCAGAATCTTGAACCAAAATAATCTGGTTTGGACATTTTTATAAAGTGGACACGAAATAAATGATTTTAAAAGACACGAAATGAATGATTTTGGTTTAAAACATTTTAAGAAAGGTTAGAAATGATTAAGGCTAAAGGAAATTCACGAGACTCCTCAACCCTTCACCTAACTTGATAATCAAAGACGTTAAAGGTACTCATCACTGGGTTTGGTTTTTGGGAAGACACAATCAGGTGTCTACATTATGCTTTCTTAGATTTATATTTTGAATTGTTGGTTTGTTATTTATGGACTAACTTTGTTATGTTAATTTTTAAGTTAGTTTTTAAAGGGCCATGGTTGAATTGGTTCCAACTTCTGAACGATTTAATTCTACTTTTGTTTTGAGGTTGCGAACTCAAATTTTATTTTGAAAGTTGGTCTTTATTTTTAGTCTTCCGCTATGTGACTTTGAAAAATAGCCTTAGCCGTTATTACGGTGGCGGTAATATTTTGGTTATTTCCTAAAAAGGGGTTTTATTTAGAGTAAAATGAGTATTTTAAAAGAAGGAAATTTCCATGGTATTACATGTGTTTAATTAGGCTAAGGCTAATAACATGGGGTTTAAGAACTTTTGGAATTATGATGGTTATGGATGCTAATTATTGATGATTGTTGATGGTTGTTGATTGTTGTTGATGATTTGAAAACGAGGAAAATGACCTTTATTTATGAGGATAAAAAAGAGTATGGACAATCAGAATTTGGAACGGAATAGCACAACTTTCAATGTGGGGCGATAAACCTATCGTGGTGCGCAAGTGTCCATAACGGCGCGATGGAACTGACGTGGCGCGATGGTTCTGTTGCTCTACGATGATGATAAGGCCGTACAAAGTTTGATTTCTAATAGAATTAGATTAATGAAACATATCCGGACGTCTTTTAATTTGAATGGGATAAGAACTATCATATGAGAAGTTTTATTCGACTTCAAATTCTTTAATTTATTTATTTATTCTTGAGCTTTCCAAAAAGGATAAATTAGAACCTTCTAGAGCATTCTAGAAGCTCTTAAGGAATCCTAATTGGCTTAGGATTGGGAATAAGGTGTTTGGACCCTTATATGATCATTGGGTCGTAGGTAAGGTGGACCTAGGCTCGGTTTGGGCTCGGTTTAGTATTTTGGCCACAAACTCTTAGCTACACACTTGTGCAGCTAAGTTAGCTGAAACAACCATATATATGAACATATAATACTTAAAAAACGAACATACGTTTTTTTCCCCTTCCTTATATTTACCTCGCTCTCTTCTTCTTCCTTACCTCCATTAATTTTCTCTCTTTGTTTTCTTCTCCATTCAAAATTTTCTCTCTCCTTTTTTTTCCTTTTCCTTTCTTATAAGTAAATTTTCTTTCTTATCTCACTTTCCTTCAATCTTTTAACTTCTTTATCCTCCTACTTTGGATATTCTCCAATTCTTCAACATTGTAGCATTCTCCATCATCTTCGTCACGATCGTCACATTTTCTTTAACCTTTGTTTTCTACATTATTATGGATTTGGTTGTTATTTAAAAGAGATGATCAATGTAGGTTAGTTTATGTGTTGTTGATTTTTAATTTGGGCTGAATTTGTAATTGATTTTTCTGATTTTATAATTGGTGAATTTCAATTTGAGGAATTTGATGAATTTCAATTGACTTTTTGATGAATCTATTGAATTAGACTATTTCAACAAAAATTTTGAATTTTTTATGAATATTAATTTAATTAATGAGTTTTTGTGATGAATTATTGAGTTCCTGCATCTTTAATTATGAATTTCGATTTTTTTTAATTGAGTTGCTAATATTTGTTTATAATTTTTGGAAAAAAAATGAACACGGTGTACTTTAAAATTTTTCTACATTATTATGGATTTGGTTGTTATTTAAAAGAGATGATCAATGTAGGTTAGTTTTTGTGTTGTTGATTTTTAATTTGGGCTGAATTTGTAATTGATTTTTCTGATTTTATAATTGGTGAATTTCAATTTGAGGAATTTGATGAATTTCAATTGACTTTTTGATGAATCTATTGAATTAGACTATTTCAACAAAAATTTTGAATTTTTTATGAATATTTATTTAATTAATGAGTTTTTGTGATGAATTATTGAGTTCCTGCATCTTTAATTATGAATTTCGATTTTTTTTAATTGAGTTGCTAATATTTGTTTATAATTTTTGGAAAAAAATGAACACGGTGTACTTTAAAATTGAACATTTAGTACATAAAAACTAAACATATTTTATCTTTATTTTCCGTTAATAATTATATACAATGAATTTAAATTTATGTGAATATAAGAAAATCATGTTCATTTTTAATATACTAAATGTTCATAATTTTTTTTCAAGTGTTCATTTTTTTAATACTAAATGTTCATTTTCTTTAATATTTTCATATATTTTTTATGAAATGTTCATCTTATTAGGTAAGGTCCAACTATTCTATATTGAATGATAAATGTTCACTTTTAATATACTAATGTTCATAATTATTTTTGACATGTTCATTTTTTTATTAATAAATGTTCTTCTTCTTCTTCTTTTTTTTTTTTTTTTTTTTTTTTTTTTTTTTTTTTTTAACGTGTTCATAATTATTTTTACACTAAATGTTCATTTTTAAGGTCGTGCCCCAGCAATTTTATGGTTATCATGTTTATTTTTAATACTAAATTATCATTTTTTTTAACATGTTCACTTTTTAAGTACTAAATGTTCATTTTTTTATGTGTTCATTTGTTATTACTGAATATTCATTTATTTTTACGTGTTTATATTTTTTTTACAACATGTTCATTTTATAGATAGTGGTGTAGTTATTCTACCTACACTAGAGTGCAGCTAAGACTTATTGGTAATTTGGCCATAACTTATTCGCTTTAAGTTGGATTTGGGCTTATAATATATCGTTGGAAATCTCTTTTCAAGCCCCATCCAACCAAAAAAATAATTGGACCAGGATTATTGACCAAAATAATCTGGTTTGGACGTTTTTATAAGTTGGACACGAAATGAATGATTTTAAAGGACACAAAGTGAATTATTTTGGATTTAAAGGCACGAAATGAAAGAAATGGTACCCTTCAAACAAGTGTATTATTCCGATAGAGGATTCGAAATTAATTAGAAAGCTAATTATTCAGTGAGGTCAAGTGATCGGAATGCCTAGCTGAAGGTCGTTTTCGATCAGTAATATTAATTTTTAATTTTGACTGAACCCTTCGGGTCACACCCAATCGTGTAACCGAATCGAAACGACGAATTAATTCAAAGGATTAATGAGTCAATAGAGTATTTACGAACAATGACGTTGGATTCCGAGCTTAGAGCGTCGAAGCCGAACGTCAAAAGTCGAGTCGAATTTAGGAATCGACGAGACGAAAAAATCGACCAAACAACAAGTTATTGCACGGGAAAATCCTAGCCTCGAAATGGCTTAGCCAATCGAGGGCTAGGATGGCTAGCATGGCTAGCCAAGGCCATTGCCGCAAGGCAAGGCTCAGTCGCAAACTCAGCATGCCTAGCATGGCTGAGCATGCCTTGTGCGCATCGTAAGGCTAGCATGGCTGGTCACACTTGCAAGGCAAGCAAGCAGCCAGCCTTGCACCATCGCAAGGTCAACATCAAGAAAATGCTCGTTGGGCCTCGCGCATGGTCACAACAACTAGCCGGGCTCAGCTAGCATAAGCAACGCAGCAGCAGTAACCTGCATTGCGTACGAAGCTTGCTGGCTGTGCGTGCGTGCGTGTGAGCTGGCTGGAATCATGATGAGTGTTTCTTAGGTCAGGAAGCTAGGCAAGTATGTAATGTATGAAACAATAAATATTGCTTAGGTTAGGAAGCTAAGCAAGTATACAATGATTCTACATAACCATGATGATGTTTGTTGAATGCTGTTGTGAAGGATTATGAAACATACGTGGTGTTGCAACAAGATTTCATAAGAAAGGGTTCCTAAGGGAAGGATGATATGGCCATGTTTATGTGAATGAAGTTTGTGAAAGTGATACTAAAGTTAGGCTGCAAAGGCTGTGGTTATGGAAAAAATGTGAGAAGAGTCGAGATGGTGACTCTTTAGGCTAGGTAGGCAAATGATGTGGGTTCAAGCCCCCAAGTCTATCTCTACATGGATAGGGATGAGAATTGGAGATCCTTTAACGCGATCATGCATTAAAATGAATGTGATTATGAATGTGGCCGCACCTCGATGTGAGGTTGCCTACGTATTCGTTAGGAATCGAGCCAAACGTAGCTCTAGCCAAACTTTGCACAAGTGTATATACACCTCAAAGAGGTCTTTTAAGGGTTGTAACATGGTTAAGCTGGTGGTTAAAGAAGAAAGGGTAAAAGGCTTAAGACCTGAGGGAAGCCCCCCAAGATGTGTATTTGCAATTTGAACTTTGCAAGTTTTATTTTTTCACATATTTTAGCTTTATTTTTGCTCCTGTCTTCTATTAATCAAGGTAGGCAATCCCGATCATGCGGTCCATCACTCATTTAGCATTCATGTATCTCAGGCATGGTACCAAGCACTCGATGAGAGACGCAGTTTGAGACGTGTTCATATCAAAGACATTAGAACACTTGCCCTTAGACATTGTTGTATTATTACTTTTTCCTTTTTTTTTTTGAACTTGCTTTTGAAAATTACACAAATTACGCACCTTCCCATCCCAAGGTTAGGTGAATGTGGGTTGAAGAAATGAAGGCCAATCATTGGGCGAGGCTCAAAATGGTTATTGAAATAATGGACTATGTATTTGAATGGTTTATTGGGAGATAAAGGGCTGCAAAGGGTGCCTCGAATCATCGGCAAACCTTGTGTTTGGTTCGGCAATTGATTTTTTTTTTCTTTTTTTTGTTGAAGAGTGGCATGATCGAGATATAAAAGGAAAAAATGCTCATTTTATTGATGAAAAGGTGAATAAACAGATTACATAAAACACAATAGAGTCTGGGAATGAAATAACCTATGCTAGACATAAAGAGGGGAAAAGTAAAATGAATGATAAAAAGAAATAATATCATGAAATCTTGCACAAAAGTGCTCATCTTGGCCTTGTCTTCATTGCTGCTTGTCGCTTCTTGCCACCTGGAGGGACAAGAAGTTTGTTGGCATCCACTAGATCTTGAATAACAATCTTCAAATTCCAACATTGCTCAGTAGTGTGGCCCCTTCCTTGATGGAACTTGCTATGGGAATTGGGATTCCACTTGGCACTCCTTTCCTCAGGTTTCGGCTCTAGGAATGGTCCAATGGGTGTAATCAGACCTTGATTGTAGAGGCGATTAAAGGCAACATCATAAGTCATCCCTAAAGGAGTGTAAGTTCTCCTTTTCTTTGGAAGGGGAGCATCAAGAGCTAGAACTTCATTGAGATGGTACTTGCTTACATTGTTAGTCGTATTTTTCGGGCTTAGAAGGCATAGAAGAAGGAAGGGTTGTTCCTTTTTTTTTCCAAGTGTTATTATTGTTACTACTACTAGCGGTCTTTATTAGCTCGTCCTCAATGTTAATGCTAATATCGTATACAGCTTTGAAAGTGTTCAATGGAAGGAATCTAAGATGTGGCATGTACTTATGATTCAAATTAAGGATAAAGAGATGAACCATGGTGGCTCCACTATTTGTGCAGCTGTTTCTCTCCACCTACTCAGATAGGTGGTGAACCCTTCATTTTCTTTCTGTTTGAGGATGGAGAGCTCACGTTCAAAAGTTCAAACTTGAATGTTACACTTGTAATGATTCCTGAAACTTTCAGTGACATCTTCCCAAATTGTAGTATACTTGAAATATAGAGAATAAAACCATTGTTGGCAAGCATACTCCAAATAGAGAGGTAACACTGTAGAGAAGAGTGCCACCTCTAATCCTTTAAGAGCCATGGTTGTAGAGAAAGCCTTCAAATGGAACATTGGATTGTCAGTAGGTTTGAAATTTGGTATGTCTGCAGTGGAGAACTATTCAGGGAGCTTATCCTTCACAGCCAAAGTAGTGGAAGGTTGTTCCACGTAGGTGAGATCTTCAGAATTCTTGCTCACCTTTTCTTTCACCTTTTCCACTGCAACAATAGTGGCATTGTTTTGTTCCATGGTAGTGACCTTAGTAGTGAGGGTTTGCATCATGGTAGAAAGTGCCTCGATGGACTTGTGAATGTTCTCAATATCTTCTTTGCTAGCCATTGGAGTAAAATGAAAGTGAACTGAATGTGACAGTGATGGACTTTGTGGAGAGGATGGAGGCTTCCTTGCACACCTCTTAGATTTAAGAGGTTGTTGTGGTAGTGAATCGAGCCGTACCAATCTACCCCTGCTTCTTGACCAAGTAGTGTGAAATAAAACAAACTTAATGTTTTTGACTCACTGCTCAAAATAGGAAACGAGGGGGGAGAGACAGGATTTTGAAAACAAGTGAGAACAACTCCACTCGTTTTTTATTATGACAGGAAATGACACATGCATAAACCAAGTATACAATCATAAACAATATGGTGCCTGACTCGAAGACAAAGTGTGTTCAATGACTCAACAAGTGTGATTAGGTGAGTTTATTAGAGCAATTCTAATGGTTGGGAAAAGGGACTAGCTTGCGAATATAAAAAAATCTTAAGCTATTAGCTATACCATTGTTGCACATCTTGTTGATTAGCTTTGTCAAGCAAATTAGCTTTGTAGAGCTAATTAGCTTGGTAAATATTTATTAGATAAAAATTATTATTAAATTAAAAATAAATTAATGTACAACTAGCTTAGCTTAACCATTGGGGAAACAAATAGCTAGAATTGTTATACCTTAAGACGATGATGTGGCATGACAAGCTATTAAAAGAATTAGCCAACCATTTTAGTTGCTCTTAAGACTTGTGACATAATCGTATGGCTAGACATGAGGACGTTGTGAAAAAACAAAGGACCCAAGGACCAAATAGCACTGAAGACTAAAAGAAAAACTAACTTGATTAATTTTGTCCAATTTTAATGTTTATACTATTTACTAGGTGAAAACGATCCATTGGAAATCGTTAATCATAAATAAGATCAACTACAATCAAAGACAAAGAACATATGTTACGGTTAGCACAATAATCACAAAGACTAGGAAGAAGGACTAGAATTCTAGAAGAGTTAGGACTCATGGGAAGAGATTAAAAATAAAATAAAATCTACAATCCTATGTTATACAAGTTGACATGGATTAGAGGACTAAGAGATGTAGAATATTGGCTAAGACTAGCTTGACATGAAAAGATAAAAATTAAAAAATTAAAAAGAAATATTGGACGCTAAAAAGAACTCCTAAACTAGACAGGCTGTAGTATTTCGGTTATAACTTTTGATCTGTGACTCTGATTGGTACGAAATCAACTTCAAATGAAAGATAAAACTCGGGGCTACAGATCCATAGGTTGAACGACACGTACCTCTTTCCAGAACTCCGGCTATGACCAAAACAAGTTAATGCTTGTGCAGGGTACGGGAATACTAACTCCATATGGTTCGGAACAACGAAAAGAGGATCGGGGATGATGGTAAGAAGTGAGTCATGGAGTCACATTCGTTCGTATTGGCCTCTACTCGATTCTTATTGTGAAAAGTATTCCTGCGATCTCAAAGGCATACAAACCAAGATTCAATTTGCCCCAAACTAAATTAGGCTAAATTGAATGAATATTAACGCAACACATAATTCTAAATATTAATGACCACTTGATTAAATAACAAGATTAAAAGGAACCTAAATCGGTTGTCCAAATTATCTTATTAGTCGTGATTTTCAATTACATATACCCTTTAAACATGCAATATGATTGAGGATCAACAATATATAACATAAGCAATAATATTGGAAGCAATTTAACCATAATAACGACGATTAATATATGACAAACATAATAAAAATCGTTAGAAATATAATAGGAATGAAAGGAACATGATTTTACTTTGATTGCGTTTGCTTGCAAATATAAAACAATAAACACGTTAGTAACTTCAAGGAAAAATAATAAACAATAATGGAAATTAAATAAAATGAAAGTAAAGTGGATTTGGGGCCAAACCCTCAAACAATTCTACCTTTCACACCTTGATTTAAGTATAGAACTTTGGGTAAAGTACGAACTCCGAGGAGTGCTTAAGGGATGAATTGTGAGAATAGGGAAGACAAATATTTAGGCTAGAGCATAAGAGAGAAAGTTTATTTTGTGCCCCGAAACTGTAAAATCAGCCTCGTATTTATAGAGGAAATGTTAAGGGAGGGGTCCAAAACCTTAGAAATGAGGCGCCGCAGAAGAATAAAGCGCCGCAGGCAAAAGAATTGTCGTGGCACGACAATGGTATTTTTACCGTGGCCCAGTAATTTCTAGTTTTTACGCGTTTTTAATACTTTGATAACTTATGATCATTAAATTGGAATAAGGCATATAATATATCATTGGAAAAATATTCAAGTCTACTTTCCAAACTAATTAGATTCAGGTCAAAATCTTTTTTATATTTTGAGGTATGGTCGATTTAGTGCAAGGGTGTCGGTTTTGGGCCGAGTTATAGTGTTTTGCTCATGTCTTCTTCGTTTTAAATCGGAATTGGGCTTATGATATACCGTTGGAAAGCTTATTTCAAGACCTATCTAAAAAACTAATATTTAGATCAAAATTAGAGGGACGCAAAATCAGTTTAGCTCGATTTTATGATGTGGACACGAAAAGAGGAAAATAAGTTATGGTTTAGGGAAATGGGCTAAGAATTGGTTGGTTTATGAAATATAATGGATTGAATATGGATTTAAGCACTCCAAAGATTAAATCATTGGGTTTGGTTTTGAGGAGACATTTTTAGGTGTCTACACATATTATACCATAAAGAGGCCATCTTACTCTTTAGCTAAATTTGCAATAGATTTGAATCTCACTATCTCGAAGTTCTATGTTCTGACTAAAAAATTAGTAGCAACAGGATTAAGCCTTAGAATCGGCATTAGTAGTTTCTGAAAATAGATTTGAGATAAAAGATTTTAGAATCGGCATTAGTAGCAACAGGAATAGGCCTAGATTCCAGAAGCCTAAATTGTTTCTGAAAACAATGTTTTGGAGTGTAGATTCTGAAAACAATGTTTTAGAGTTTATATCAACAGGAAATTATCTCAACAAGAACAGACCCTCAACAAGATGAGCTCAAACCAAATGTCAGATCATTTCCTACTAACTCAACACAAAAACACATTTTTAAGAAATAACCAAGAAGATTCATAAAGTACTGATGGTTGGGAATATTCAAAGTCTTAGGTGGGGTCTAAACCAAAAAGAACATCCATATGCATGGGGTGTAGTCAAATAGACTGATAAAATTGCAGGCTGGAAGGAAATCAATCCTTAAAAAGATCTTGATTTTGCCTCAGGAGAAGGTGGTGGTTTGTTAACTTGGGATCCAAAAAAGGATCCTCTATAGCCTGTCATTCAAGGCAAATGGTTGGAATGCAGCAAAATCTTAGAGTAATTCTAATTCAAAAGAGCCTTGTAAAGCCTAGGGTAAACCAGCAAAAGAAACTGATAGTGTTGGCTAGAAGGAAAATGATCCTCTAAAAGGGAGGAACAAGTGACTGGAATGATAAACTGCTAAACGAAAACAAATCAAACTCAGAACAGAATTAACCTAGAAGTTCTAAAGGCCAAGTTTTTACTGGCGGAAAAGGTAATAAAAATTAATGGAGTAGGAAAAAACAATTAATGGTGGAGCAGATCTACTGTTGCTTTGTAAAACAATTAATGGTGGAGCACGAGCAGAGCTTTGGTGATTTGTAAAACAATTAATGGTAGAGTCGTTTTAAACGCCTAGCTTATCAATCACACTATGCCATATAAACACTACTCACCACTTGCTCACTCGCTCACTCGCTCTTGTAATTCCGTCAGGACTAACAACTCAAGTTACAACAATTGCACCAAAAGGATGTACACACAGAAGAAGTAACTTAGATTACCTTTGCAAATTGAAAAAGAAGGGTTCTACTTCATCTAGCTCCACATCATATGGTAGTGGACCAGTGGCGATGCAGTTCTTGTCCTACTATCAACTTGTTCAGTCACCTAATCTGGCTTATGAGGTTCAGATAACCTGCTAACTTTCTTCCCTTGAAAAAATTCATCATTGTATTAGGATTAAGGAACGACAATAACTTTACAAAAAACATAAAACGGATTAAAAAAAATAGAACGCGAGAATTCCCAAGTTAATTCCACAATTCTAAATTGTTTCAGCAGCTTACAGATTACAACAAGAAACTGAAAATTACAGAGTTAATTTGACATAGACTTTCCACGCGCTAAGATACACACAAATGTGTGAATTACCGGCGTGATCATAATTTACACAACAAGCACACCAGAATAACCATTTAAAAATCTAAATACTAAACAGCGTATCAATTATCATATTTTTTTTTTTTTTTTTTGAAAATTCAATTGTTATAATATAATTTGTTACAATATGAACCATTTTAAACTCTAATCATAACATTTTTGTCAATTTATTAATAAGAAAAATATAACAGCAATATATCTTAACACCAAAGAAAAAAATATTACAAACTAACCTCGGAAATTATTAGAAAAGTAGAAATCCTCAAAGCGTCAGCAACAGCTTTAACAGTATCTTCATAAACATGTACCCCATCAGCTTTACCTTATACCTAGATGACCTCTCATACCCAGATACTGCAAATCATTTATGTATTCTAGAGGCCCCTAATCCACCCTCTACTACTTTTATCCTATTTACTAACACTTATAACTTATGCAGGGTTTGATTAGAATACACAAGTAAATCTGACCATTTCGCATGGCCTTCCATTTTGTATTGATGTATTATTAACTTCCTCCAATTCCCACTCAGTTTCAACTTCCAAAGATTTTTATATAGCTAACCTTAAGAATAAACCTCAGCACTATCTCTGAAGAACCTTGTTGCACAGGTACACAGGGGTCTCAGATGGCTAACAAGGTGTATGATAAAGTAGATTAGCATCATAAGAGTCACAAATTTCTTGCAGGGTAGCTTATTATAAGAGTAGATGTAAAATAAAAAGACCATTACAACCAATAAGAAGATATAAAAGAAAGGAAAATAATTATTGCAAGGTATGGTGAAAGAGGCCTTGGATATGATATTACATTGACTTTATTTTGGGGTGAGGAATGGATCTCTGGGAAGGTGCTTATATTGTTTGTTCAACGACAGGTTGTGCAAGTAAAAGTGCAAGTACAATTGCTTGTGGCTCAGGGGCTGTTTCGGGGTTTTTGGAGTCCCTCGAGAGAGTTACAATTCCAAGAATGCGCGTCAGCCATCTGTACCTGCAAAACCACGAAACTCCAGTTGGGTGGAGTTCCGCCTTCGACGATCAAGTTAGAACGTGTATGAGGAGTATAGTGCGGAATGTAAAGGGTTTTCTCTTTGATTCAGAGAGGATTCTGCAATTAATATTGCTCAGTTTTGTGTATGTATTTATGAATATTTGTGGATATTTCTGAAAAATCTTTCTGCATGAGTAATAAATGAGGATTTTCCTCTATTTATAGTGCAAGGGGATCAGTTCCCCCTTTAGGATTAAGGTGCCACATGTCAGCCAAGGATTGGATCCCGTTGGGCCTTTCTGAGGCTGACACGTGTCAGCATGCTATTGGGCCACGTGGCATGGGTATTTTTACCCTAAACATTTGCCCCTCACAGGTGTGACGTGGCTTGCCACGTGGCACCTGTGACGTGGCTTGCCACGTAGCATTTTTGACGTGTCACATTTTGTAAAGGTGATGGTTCGTCTCCTTCCATTTTTTTTATTTTTTTTTGAATTCGAATTCCGAATTTGAATTTGAAGGGGAGGTGACGGTTCGTCTCCTTGTTTCCCTCTATAAATGGAAACCTTTCACCCCCATTTGCAATACTTTGCAAATTTTTCACAAACTTCCTGAGAGAAAAAAGCTCTGACGCCGGCTGCTATTGCATTCACAACCATCTTCTCTTTCTTAACTCATCCGGCTTCCGTCTAAGTTACCTTTGCTCAAAATTCTCAGACACCGTCTGACTTTAGTCAAACTTCTTCATTTGCTTTCTGTATACCCATAGCCGATTCTCTACCGTCTGGGGCATCTTTGAGCCATTTATCCCAAAACCGCTTCACTTTAGTCAATTTCTTTCTCTTCCTCTCAATATACCCACAGCCGGTCATTAAAACCATCTTCCTCAAAACCGCCTGACCACCCGCTTATTTTCTCTAGCTCTCAATACACCCTCATCCGGACATTGCCGTCTGGGATATCTTTGAGCCACATTTCCGAAAAACAATTGGGGGCCTTTGCAAGTTTCGGTTGTTCTTTGAAGAGGATACATCCGGGCTACCTTCTGGGTTATCACCAAGCAACAACTCAGAATTCCGGCTACTTACTTCGAGGAGTTAACTCTTTCCAGATTTCTTTCAACTCCAAAGGTACCGTTTCTGTCCCTTGCAACTCTTTGTGCGCTTTTCCGGTTGTATAGGTTGTTAGTGAATAATGGACTCACCCAAC